CTTCCTTGTCAACATCCGCACAACAAGTCTATTATTATCAAATTTAAGGTAAGCATACTTCCATCTCGCTTTTTTCCCCATTTTCTGTTCTCTCCCTCTTTCTTTTTTCCTTTTTTTTTTAAATTTTTTTATTTATTTATTTATTTATTTATTATTTTTTATTATTATTATTATTTATTTATTCCGTGGTAACGCTTTCCCCCTTCAGTTTTTTGTCGATTTTCTTCGAAAATTTAATTAAAGAAATATTAAAATTATTTAAAATACGAAAAATCCAACAGTTATAATAAAAATCAGAAAAGATCAGTTGAGGGAAACTATTATCAGAAAATTTATCGAATAAACTCGCGAATTAAAATATTACGAATTCGTGAAATCTAAGATAATAATAATAATTTCTTAAATTCACAGCAATTTGTCCCAAAAACCTGAGTTAAATTATTGCCCTAACTATATATCAGGTGAGCAGAGAGGTCAGTTAAGAGCAAGAATACTTGTAAATTGTGGAGAATGGAACATCTGAATTCTTTCGAATTCCAAGAATCTTTAAACAAATTTGAGATTGTGAAACTTGAGTTTTTTTGTGCAATTTTCGTCATTCAAATCTTCGGAATCTTGATTCAAAAATATGTGAAAAGTTTCACCTTAAAACTTTAAAAGAAGTACTTTTGCTGACGTTGAGCAAAAGCATTCACTAAAGTAATAATAATAATAAGAAGAAGCCTGCTGCATTTTTAGTGGACTGGAATCACTAATAATAATAATAATTTTGTGACGGTTGTTATGCTACTTTTAATTTTATGGACCAAAATTATTTTTAGCTTTTATCTTTGTTAACCCTTGAAATAACCATCCCAAAATGTACACTTCCTTTGTTTTTAAAAAAGAATTCCGGAAAAATATAAAACGTTTAAATTCTATACAGCGCCACAGATGCATAATACACGCTTAGAAAAAAAAAAAAAAAAAAAAAAAAAAAAAAAGGTGCATCAAGAAGGAGTTATCTGAATGGGACGAAAATCGGTAGAAGTGATGTACATGTACAGAAAAACAAATGATTACAGTTTGAGAAAAATTGGATGATTTATTGAAGTGATAGAGCTCCACAAAGTGAGAAATCAGTAACGCATTTGTCCACTTCTCGCCCTTATGCAAACAGTTATTCTGTTTGGCATCGATTGATAGAGGTTGCTGATGTCGTCCTGAGGGATATCGTGCCAAATTCTGTCCAATTGGCGCGTTAGATCGTCAACATCCCGAGCTGATTGGAGGGCCCTGCCCATAATGTTCCAAACGTGCTCAATAGGAGAGAGATCCGGCGATCTTGCTGGCCAAGCTAATGTTCGGCAAGCACTAAGGCAAGCAGTAGAAACATGTGCAATGTGGGGGCGGGCATTATCTTGCTGAAATGTAAGCCTAGGGTGCCGTGACATGAAGGGCAACACAACAACACAACGGGCCTTTGAACTTCGTCGACGTACCGCTGTGCTGTAAGGTAGCAACGGATGATAACCAGAGGGATCCTGCTGTGAAATAAAATGGCACCCCAGACCATCACTCCTGGTTGTCGGCCTGTCTGCCGGAAGACAGTCAGGTTGTTATCACACCACTGTCCGCTCACCTTCGCTGGTCATCGGGGCTCGGTTTAAAGCGGGACTCATCACTGAAGACTATTCTACTCCAGTCAATGACATTCCAGTGCGAATGAGCCCGACACCACTGCAAACGGGCTTGACGTTGTACAGAGATCAATGGTAGTCGGCGCAAGGGGAGCCGTGACCTCAGCCCCCTTTCTGTGAGACGTCTATGAATGGTCCTTGCCGTCACTGAAGCACTAGTTGAACGTACAATCGATGATAATCATGCATCTGGGGCTGTGGGTGCCGTTCTGACGATTACCCGGTCTTCACGTTCTTTCGTTTCTCTAGGCCTACTGCTTCTTTCTTGACGCTGTGTGCGGCCATGGTTCACCCATTCCTGCCAACATTGTCTAATAGCGGCATTGCTCCTGCTCAAATGTCGAGCTATTCACCGATAAGACCAACCGGCTTCTTTGAGCTCAACTACACGATTTTTCTCAAATTCTGACATCTGCGCATATCGTTCGCGCACCTGTATGCGAGGCATAGTTACTGTCTACCAGAGTACACGGAATGAAATTCGTGAAGAATTTATGACCTGGAATTGTAATTTCTCCTCTTAAATATCCTGCCAGTTGCGCAGATCAGATGAGCTGTAGCGACAACCGTTCATTCGTTGGCAGTCAAAATGTAAAATTTTGCATTTTCCGTCGAAACCTGTATGCATATCAATTTGTGTCCATCCCATTTGCTTTATATCTTCTCGATGCGTCTTTTTTTTTTTTTTCCCTCCCTAAGAGTGTATAATGCTAAACTAACACGAACAAACTGAACTAAACAAACAAACATATAATTAGATGGATTATCACTTCTTTACGGCAGATGAGACTGAATACTCGGGCTGTTCGCACATTCTTAAGACGACTTTCCTTGTGTTTACGCATATGTTTTACCTAAAAATTTTGCTTTTTTAATGTTCCATTTGATAATCCGTATCCCTCACTATCTTTCAACATCGTAATTTCAAAAACAATAGAGCCTTTTGTAGTATCAGAAGAGGTATTTTATCCCATCATTCTTGCACAGCTTTCCAAATCCAGGGAGGGTTGTAGGTCGACGTTGGACAATCCGCTTTTCAAGAGTTCATCGGAATATTTAGTAGGAGTATGAGTGAAGAGTTTGCCCTTGATGCCCGTTTCTTGTTCCATCTTCACAGGAAATTAACAGTGAATTTTGACGGGAGGCTGCTTGCTTGATGCAATTCTACTGGCACTGTGGCTAAAGAGATGGTATTTAATATTTAAAAATTGGGTATCAGATATGTTCCTGATAATATGTGCAATTGATTTTAATATTTTTCTCCTCTCTCTTTATTTTTAATTTTCCGTTATATGAAAAACCAGCAAAATCAAAAATCCCTTAGAATTAAATCCTTTAGAAAAACTTTCTTTGTGTTTGGGCTAAGCCTCTCTAAGCTGCTGTTACGCTCGGCCAACTTAAATAAGACATCCTCAGAATGTTAAATTACGATGTGCTCAGGACATCTGGGAATCAACATACTCAGGACATCCTAAGTATGTCCCGGGATATTGCGACTTAAATAGGACATCCTGAGGATGTTCTGTTCTATGGGGGATAATAGCTCGAATATTATGATTTAAAAAAGTTTACCCTTGTTTCATATGGAAGTATAGAAGCATAATTAATTTGATCGTATGTAATTTGCCTCAGGTGAAAAGTACCAAGGCACGTTTCTGGAACACAGAATTTAAAATATATGTTTTATATTACACATAATTAATACAGGAACATAATGCATACAAACGAATACACGTAAGAAATATTAACCCAAATGAACGTAAGTCCGAATGGGCTATTACTCTCGAAACGGGATTTGGAGACGTATCAGTTTAAATGTCTAAATCACTTTTCAAATTGTTGCAACAAATATTATCGCATGTATCCCTTTAGAGAAGTTAAATAATGAAGAATCTGCATGAATGTATGTATGTGTCCCCAAATGTGAAAACAGGACGATACTTAGGATCATCCAATTTTGAATAACGTAGTCCTCCACCCAAACGTGGGCACCTGGAAGCCGGAATTTTGAATTTTGTATTTCATATTTAGTAATTTCAATTTATAAATTTCAGCGATTTGTAAGGGAACATTGACAACACTGTACGGATTTTTTAAAAAAAAAGTATCTCCAGCGCGCAAGACTGTCTATCTGAAATTCCAAAGATATGCTGTTTTTAAATATTCTGTGGTTTTGTTTTTCACCCAAATTTTTATGTCCCAATAAGGGCGAAGAATAGGATACTTAATTAATAAATTTATTACACCAAACGTTAATAGTAAAACGACCAAAAACAAACAAACAAAACTATCTTACGAAGGAAATTGTATATTGATATGATAAACTGAGAAAAAACTGAAAAAAATAGAAAAATATGTTCCAACTGTTTTATAGTTATTTTCAATTCTATTCGGAATTGAAAAAATAGAATTCTGAATCCCGCAATTTCGAACAGAATTTCGCGAATTCTAAAAGTATGCTGCTTTAAAATGTTTTGCAATTTTGCTGTTGAATTAAAATAAGGGTGACCTTTTTACCCCATATTTACAACTTACGCCTTGTATGTGATGTAAGATGCTTAATAATAAAGCTAAAAAAAAATGGGTTAGCAGGAGTGAGTGTAATAGCAGACTGGTTGACTGCGCGCTCAGCGAAAGCGTAGGAAAACCTTAACAAACCCTTGTGGGTGACCGTTAAAATGTGAGCTCTTTCAGATTTTTGGTTTTTTTGAAAATTTTTCACTAACCCTCGAAAATGGTAGAATTACCTATAAATTCAACACCATTCTATAGATGTACATCAACTTTTCCTTATCTCCCATCATCTTGTTTCCCTAATTTGATATTGTAATAGTCTGAATCAACTATTAATATTTCTAATAAACAGATTCTGATAAAAGAAAAATAGTGAGAGTTTGGTCAATTTAGGGATCATGTTTTAATGTTAGTTCTTTATTTACCACGTTTTAATACTAGCTTTTTGATTCATATAGCCCAATTTCATGCAGCATAACATTTTTGAAGAGTCTAACGACCGTGTTATATAGAGCTACTTGTACGTGTAAATTTCTGGTTTCTTCTTCAGAGCAGAAACTCGTGTCAGCCTTTGAAATAGAATCAATGTTTTACACAATGAATATTAAGACAGGTGGTACATTTCGGCTCTAGAACTGAGCAGGTGGGGTACTATTTTCTTCCCCGCTAAAAATTTAGCAACGGTGAATAATTCGAAGAATAGCTTTGCTGCATGTGTTGAGGTTTGCGTGCGGAGCTTCAGGCTTTTCCTATTTTTAAAATCCGTCCTTGTCATTGCGCAGTAGTCTCTCCCTCCACAGGCACACAGGCTACCACAACTATATCGTCTGAAGTAGTAATGAACACTGTTCTAAATTTATTTCCCGAAACCCTGTCGTTCTGCCAGAAATAAGTGAGTTGCATTAAGCGCAGACTTGGCCTGGCCGATTTTTTTTTAATTGTGACACTAATTTCAAGGATTCCATTCAGTCATTATCATCAGTTGTGCTCACGGAGTGAAGGGATTTGAGCATTTCTTCGAGATTTCGGTTGTTTTGGACTTGATTTTCTTTTCTTTTCTTTTCTTTTTTATTTGCTTCTGTATCATGAGATCAGATGCCTACAACGACGTCACATGGATTACGTAAATTTCCTGCGCTAGATTATATTGTGCATCATAACAGAGGAAGAAAACTTATCAGAAAAGGAGGCTGATATAGAAATGGTAAGATTAGAATTATTTCATAGTCAGATTTCGTGTTTAAAACTGCTTATTGACTGACGTAAATGAAACTTTGACACTTGACGTAAATGAACCTTTGATATCATGTTTACTTCTCTGTTGTTTATACTATGTTAATGTCTTTGTATTTAAATATTATTATAATTATCTAGAAAATAGAATGTGATAAACATGCTTAAAAATTGCCAATGACATATATTTTAATTATATGCTAATTACAGAATATAAAAGTTGATGGACTTGGCACTTTGAATTATAAAAGAGTGTTAATTTAACAGAATTTTATAAATTATAAAAATATTGAATTCGTGAAAGTTAATTATCAAATCTGAAGGTCATTTAAATGTGCTGATTTTATAGATGATTGAAGTTTTAAAATAAAACTGAAGAGTCTAATAAAAATGTTTAGTGATATTATAAAGCATAATTATGGCTTTTTCTACTGAATTTTATTTTACTGAAATTTATTATTATGAATGCAATACAAAGAGCATACATTTTTAAAATCTTCGAAAAACATGTATATACAACTACGCTTGGAGGAATTTCTTTAAGTAATATGTACACTATAGTAGGTTAATATAATAATCATCGTTTGTTGTTAATTTATTATAATATTGTATTAAAATAATTATTCCAGAAATACATATGGTATCTTTCAGTTTTATAACTAATATAACATTAAATATTGAAATGGTTCCTTATAACTGATTTCTCATTTTGCTAATAAACTGTAGAGTAATTGCATATTGTCATTTATTTACTTATTTAAATTTCATATTAGTTATTTAAATTTAATTTTTAAGGGATTAATAACAGGAGAGCGGGCAATTTTATATCATTTTCCAAGCATTTGAATAAATAATTTTTGTTTTAATTATCATTAAATGCTCCCTGCTACCTAATTAGAACTTGAACTAATTAGAACAAAATGCTTGATAAAAAATAAGTATTTATGAGAAAATAAATAGATAAAAATCTGCATCAGTCAAATTTTATGTTTGAAAACAAATCTAGAAAAATATAAATTCTCTGGAAAAATATAAATTTTATCATACTTTGTATCAGGTGGTATTGCCATGGTGACTTGGCCGTATCCACAGAGAATATCTGGAAAAAAGTAAAACCCTGGAAAAATAATCAATAATTAGTTAATAAATAATAATAATAAATATTAGTGGTACATAATGAGTAAATTCTTTGTATTTCATATGCATATATAATAATCCTGTGATTTATTATTTTTGTTTTATTATATAATAACATATATTACATATTATTATTATATAATAACATACATTACATGTAATAAATAAAAATGTCAGTGCTCTAATTTTTAATTATTAATATTAAGCAATTAAATGTATTCTCTTTATTGCCATTAATTCTTTATTAATTATACTTATAAATTTTGCTTTAGTTGAATTCGATTTTATTTTAGCTTAATACTTACACTTCTTCTATTATTTATATTATTACATTTTTTTTTTTATTTCGAAACAAACTTCAATAAATATTTTTACAGATACTGTCTTTTTATTGATGTTAAAAATTATTTTAATTGGAGACTCCTCATTTTTGAATCTAACATTCCTTTTTCTATTTAGTTTTTATTCAATATGTTTTAAAATAATTTTTCAATTTATTAACCGTATGTCATATAATCTGTTCTTTATCATTATTTCATTATAAAGTAAAAGTAAGGAATGTTGAAATAAAGTAAGATTAGAAAGTGGAATACTGCGCGCATTCCAAAAGGTACCAAATAAAGCGAACTCAAAGTGATACCCGAAGTAGTCAGAGATAAAAATATCGGGTTTTGACGAAAGTTTCCCGCCACCGCAAATGTGATCTGCGTTAACAGTTCCCTTTGTCCTGTTTAATCATATTTTTTCAAACAACTTTTGGCATTCCAAAAAAAGAGACTTGTTTTAGAACAGTATCTTGTGAAATCTGTACAAAAACATCGTTATCATTAAGTGCAATGTGTCCGAAATGGAACTTTATTACGTTATTGCTACGTGATAAGAACCATCATTTACTTCCAGTTCTCTTGCAAAAAGTCAGCTACAGAATGTCACCAAATCATTTCTACAGTTTCAGGTACTAATGTTATAGCATATGATACTGTTAAGGTTTGGTACCGAAAGCTCAAAAACAAGGGCTATGACATTCAAGAAGCAGAGCGCTCTGACTGGCGTACTGACGTTGATGAGGCCCACCAGGGAGAAATTATGGAAGATGATTGTGCACTCGAGAGCTTGCTAAGGAGTTAGACATCAGTGTCATCTTCATTAGTCGAGCTATGCATCGCATTAACTTCACATACAAGGTTCGATCGCTGGGTGCCGCATAAGCCGATTCAAGCAGATAGGGACAGACAGGTTCAAGTGGATTTACTTCAACAACACAGGCCGGAAGCGGGACTGGTCTGCGCCCGGTGAGCCCGTCGGCAGCGTCGCAAAGCGCAATTTGACTAACAAAAAGATGATACTTTGTACAGGTCATGGGATTATCCACAAAGAATACCTGGAAAAACGTAAAACCCTCGACAGTAAGGTGTACAGCGAGATGCTAGTCCATGTTGACGTAGCTATCAAGGAAAAACGTCGAACTGAGTTCCGGCAGAAAAAGGTAACGTTCCATCAAGATAATGCAAAACCACTTGTCCGCATTCACCGACAGGACTCTCTGCGGACTCGAATGAGATATTTTGCCACACCCACCCTATAACCCCGACATTGCTCCTTCGGACTTTTTTTATACCTGCAGCTACATCTTACCGTTGCTATCTTCCATTCTCCACAGGACGTCCAAAATGCGATTTATCTGTTTTTGGACTCGGGGCCACCAAGTTTCTGCACCAAAGGCTTTGAAAAACTACCGAAATGTTGGCAGAAAATCATAGCTTCGGGTGGTGGTTGCTACCCGCATTAAAGGTATTGTTTCATATCTTTTTCTAACTTTATAATAAAGTTATAAATCACCCAAAGCTATGAAGGCCATTTTGGCGGAAAAGTTTTGTTGTAACCAGCTATATATAGCAAATTGGAGCTAGAAGCTTCGTTTCCGTTAGTTAGTGTTTAAAAATCTTATGATATGAAATAGCTAGGGAAAAAATAGTAAAGGGAAATATAGTCTACAATCTGAAAACTTCAGCTTAAGGTTAACACGAATTATCTGTCATTAAATTTACAAATGTTTTGAAAATTTAAAAAAAAAAAACGTAAACCTAAAAAATTGTAAACTGTCCATCGTGCAAAAATTCTCATTTAACACCTATAATAATTTTACAGATTTGATCAAAAAAGAGCTGCTAGTTAATGAATTAATCTTCCAAAATTCAAAACGTAGAATCATAAATAGCACATTTTAAAATAACATTGCTATATGGTATGGTAGATAAAAAACTTACTGTTCCATAAGTAAATTAACACTAAGTGAAATCTTGTGCGCTAATTTGTTTTTTAAGGGCATAATTGTTCAAGACGTAGCTGTGCACATTTTTATACGATCCTTTGCGCATAAGCATTGCAATAAATATATATATTTCCCCCCCCTACATAAAGAGAGGTAATCTTTTTTTTTTTTTTTTTTTTTTTTTTTTTTTTGTCAAGACAAAAAAGGATGGTTTAGATGTTTCATGTAATTTTCACTATAATTTTGAACTTAAAATTACTAAATATTAACTTTTCATTAGTAAAATTTTTAACTTATAATCAATAAAAAGTTATAGGTATTTTCTTCCTCCTTCCAGCATGCCTTCGGGCTGTAACGGTTAGCACACCCGGCGCGTATTCCAGAGGTCCAGGTTCGAGTCCCGACGAAGGCATTGATAATTTTTCATGTCCCCTAATGACTCCACAGTGTGCCCGAATTAAAAAAATGTGGTGGATGAGGATTCTTCACCACCAGGATTTGACGATTGAGTCCACTAATCTCCAGTCGCCCTTTAAAAGGGAACTTTCTCCCTCCTTTCTACATGCCTTCGGGGTGTATTGGTAGCACACTCGGCGCGTATTGGAGAGGTCCAGGTTCGAGTCCCGGCGAGGACATTACACATTTTTCACTTCTCCAGCATCAAAAATCCCTAATGACTGTACCAAAGAATAGGTTTTTCCGTCTGTGTTAGAAGAAGGCGTCAGAGGAAGAAGTAGAGGATTCAGCTATGGGCTAAGTGCGCATTGGGTGCTTAAATAGTGAATGTTTTAAGGATAGCATACTTTAATACGTGCTGAGTACTTATAAAAAAGGTTTGCTATGACAAGTAGTGTTTGGATGCCATTTTCTTTTGGAAAGGGGAGGAGAGGGAAAAGACAGAGAGAGAAAAGTGATGACGAGAGTGCCAGTAAATGGCACACGTGGCAGGGCGAAAAAAAAATTGTTGATGAGAGTAACAGCAGATTACACGTGGTAAAAGAAAAAAAAAACTGCTGCGATATATATATATATATATATATATATATATATATATATTTTATTTTATTTTATTTTATTTTTTTATTATTTTTTTTTTTTTTTAAGAACTCGACAAATGATAAAAATTTAACATGTTTTTGTACACGTGTTTTTCCTTAATTAATCGGAATGAAAATATGTTAGGGAATAAAGCGCGATTCTACTCCATTGTCGTTGATTTTAAATGAAGATTGAAATTTGTAACAACGAAAATCGAATTTGAACAGTGCTGCATTGAATACGTAATTTAGAATAACAAACTTACATTTAGGTTTTCAGAAACACAAACATCGTTTTCAAAATCCTTCCGACTTCCTGTCTACTAGTTTATTTTATATTTCTCCAGTTTTTACTTTTTAAGCAAGAAAACGAGGACAAAATATTAATAAAGAATTTGTAATTAAAACATCTGATGACTTCCTTGTACGGCCTATTAAATTATACACATTTTTAGTTCCGTTTCATTTAAACTTATTTCTCGATTTTCATTAGAGATATATTTCTCATTCAATTGATTTTCCCAC